ACCCCGCCCGGTATCGTTATATGTCTTGGTGCAATTCCCTGGCCACGACACTACAGTCAGGGACAAGACGATGAGTGAGATGCTTCTTAGACCAAGCCAAGTGCTAGAGGGGATTCCCCCCAGCACCTGACCAGGAGCTTCCCCACCAACGACAAGGTCTTGCATCTCCTAGGGGAAGATTATTTTGTATAAAATTAACTTGTTTTTACTTTAATTTAAATCTTGTAACTCCTAAAAATGATATTAAGCTTATCAGTGGACACTAGATTACATTCATTTCAAAGTGTAATGTAGCTTTATGGACTAGACTACATCTCAAACATACTTTAATATTCTATTTCATGTTATAGAACTAGAACTATATATTTCTGTTTTCCTAAACATTTAATACCAAATATCTCTGGAACAAAAAGTACCAATCTCAAAAACGATACGGTTTTGTAAAGTATACATTCAGCGCTGCAACATATTACGAAATAAGCAAAATCGATTTTCCAAAATTTTTCGAAAAAATCCCTCGGCACCCCCCTGCCGATTTTATCAAAAACCGAAATCTCTCAGATCGCAACTAAAATATACTCACTGTTAGTTCATTTTATGTAGAATTGACTGTCGAAACCTGTTTTCCTATATCTCTAACAGATTTCGAGTTATTTGAGAAAATCTACAAAAAAAATATTTTTTTCTGTTTCCAAAACATTTGACACCAAATATCTCTGGAACAAAAAGTGTCAATCTCAAAAACTATAATTACTTTATAGTTTCGAGCCCTAAATATAGCGAAAATGTGTTATACATTTAGATTTATTAGAAAAAATTGAAATAATATTACAATTTTTTCTAAAGACTGTTTTTCTAAAGACTGACTCTTTTTTCTTAAGAATCTTAGAATATATCTCCAATGTTTTATATCTATTTTTATTATATGTATCTTTAGATTATAGGCTTGGCGTATTTCAGCTGATTTGAAAAAATTCCGACCGCAGCGCTGTATACGGCAGAAATCAGAATGAAATTTTTGCTATGTATTTCACGCCGGCGCCGCGCCGCGCCGTCCCGGTTACAGTTCATGTTGATTCCATTAAAATGATATTAAAATCGTGGCTTTGTCATAATATTTAAATATTTCAGTTTTTTGCTAGTGCAGTTATTGAAACTATAAAACACTCGGGTACGAGGTTTGTGTTGTGTAGCACTGTTTCGGGTAGTAAAAAATAAGTGAAAAAGAATCCGAACTAGACGTCGCGTTGTATTGTGACAATTTCAAATGTTAATAAAATTGCCGAAAAAATGTTAACGCGTAAAGGAGAGCGTAATTAGGGCGTTGTTGGGTGCAATAACATTCAAACTCAATTTTCCCGGATATTCAACTCTCCCGAAACAACATTTTATAGCTTCATAGTTTTTCACACCGATTTAATATTAATGGTATACTTTTTTTCAACTAGTGATTAAATGTTTTAATACAACAGTATTTAAAAAAATAAATAAAAAGTTATGTCCCGGCCGAGATTCGAACTCCGGTCTCTCGCTTCCTAGCCCGACTCCTTACGCACTGCTCCACAGTAGCTTGCTTAGCGATAATTCAATGACGGTATATAAACAAAAAAACAGGTTTATAACAATATACTGACGATTTGAAATGGCGCGCGGAGCGTGCTGACCAATAGCGCCTGTTATCACCTGTGACGTAGCGACCAACCTGCGCAATATCATACCTTGTATTCTTTGTACCATGGGTAGTCAGGTATAGGACGTCATCTGCTCTTCTTCTGTCATCGTCTGTCGAAATCTTACCTGAGAAAAAAAACAGAGTATAGCAGTTGTTAACGATATTCTCCGATGGTGGCAACACCGGCGGAGAATGCACCAAGTCTATAACATTAAGTTTTTGGATTAAAAGGACAACATTGTTTTGATATGGAGGAAATATATTTGTCTCTTTTTCTAGATACTGTGATATGTCAAAAGGGCCGCTCAATGTCGAATGGCTATGCATGGACAGCGCAATACTTTTACCTCCTACAGGCACGCCAATGACTGGAATAGATTTTGTAAAACGCTTGCCTTGTGGTGAGGTGAGTAATTATACAGGGTGTTCCTTAATGACATGCTAATATTTAAGGGCGCGAAATATGAATGTATGTCCTACACATCTTAATTTCTGAGATACAGGGTGGTAAAATTTTCTATTTTTTTTTTTTCATAGTAACTCTGATTTTATTACAGATATCTTTATGAAACTTGATACACGTTTTCTATGCATCAAAATACTTTTTTTGGTATATAAAGAATTTTATTTATTTCAGCCAATACCGTCCATACGTTTTTTTTTAAATTTTTTTGGAGAAAAAATGGGACACCACTGACTTCTCTTATAATAAAAATTATTTTCAAAATCTCCATTCATATGTAAACATGTTTTATCTCTTGATTTTTTTCGCCGGACGCATAGTTTTTGCTTAAAAATATTGAAGTCAGTTTATTTCCAGGTCAAATCGCGAAAAATACAATGCGTGACTGTTATGTGGAAATCGTTTCTGCATCAGTGGATGGAAATTAAGAAATAAAATAATTTTTTAGCCGACCATACCAGTGTCTGCCTGTCTGTCCGTCAGTAACACCATAACTCAAAAACCGCTAAACCGATTTTAACCAAATTAATATATTTTAGTATGAACTATACGTGCCTCCCGGCGCCAATTTTTTATAGACGTATATCAAATATACCATCAGAGATATTTAAAAAAAAAATTTACCACCCTGTATCTGAAAAGTTAAGATGTTTAGGACATTTATTCATATGAAGTTTTTTTCGTAGAATAGGTCCAAGAATCGCCTCCTTAAATATTAGCATGCCATTAAGGAACACCCTGTATTTATGAGAAATTGATTTTATCAAATCGATTTCTACTTTGAAGGATACATTTATATGTATATTTGTATGATTATATTATAATACATATTTACATTTTTCTAGAGCGAGAAGGCAAGAAGAGCCATACGGTTGTTCTTTCTGATGCGCAACAGTTTGCTAACACTCAGCGGCGAAGTAGAGAACCAACTACCACTAACGAATCCCCAGAGCTGCGTGCAGATAGACCATGCCCTGGATCTGAGTATAGCTCGTTGTGTGTCATCAGCCAAGTGAATTAAGCAATCGCTAGTTTTCAGTTTGGCTTGATTTGATTTAGTTGAGCAATTTTAAACACTTTATTTCTGAAATTGATTGTATCGTATGTTTTAATAAATTAAAAATAGTTTGATTTTAAGTGTTTGTTTTTGCTCTACTTTCTTCTTGTTTTTCTTTGCTTGGTAAATTGTGGTGTGCTTTGTGTTAATAGATTTTGTAGTATGTAGTTCTTGATATATTTTGCTAATTTAGCTTAAATATTATTTACTGATAACAATGTTTACACTGATGAACACTTTTGTGTGAATGTGTTAT